TTATAGTATTATATATTATAGTATTACAGTATTATAATATAGTGTTATAGTAGGAAGATATTTTTCAAAATATCTCAGAATGTTTCTCTTCTGCTTCCCCCTATCAAAATACAAAAGATTATATTTTTCGAAAAAAAAATCAACAGAAATCATTTGAAGAAAAAAGAAATCGTGTTCCCTAATTTCGAGAATTTGAAAGTGAAGGAGTTTGGAGAAGACAATTAAGGTACTCGTTGCAGGTATTCGTCGTCAGTGAGAGAGCCGGGCTACGACGCGCCTGCCTTCGTGGAAGAATTGTATTGTGGACCAGCTAGACTGGCGAACAATAGTTGCTACTATCATCAGCCAATCTACGAGGACGAGGTACCGGATTACGTCGCCCCGTTTCCGGTCTACGCGCCTCTCTCCGGTAAGATTAATTGCTATTTCCCTGGCGGTCCTCATCGTCCGCCGAATCGAGGCCTCTCCATTGAATTAGACACGCAAACAACAGAAATTGTTTTCAGAAGGAAAATTAAAATTCACTTTTGTTAGATACAAGTCTTTGGTGACAGTTTCGTAATTCGTACAGTTCTTTTGATTACATTCATAATTTCATAAAACTAACATTAAATGGTTTACTGATCCTTTACTACTATATTTAATAATTTTAATAATTCATTATTAATTGAGATTAATTGTGATATTATATATCATACTAATTAATATACTGTATAGTATATATATCTTATATCATACTAGTATATCATAGTAGTATAACATACTAATTAATATACTAGCTTAGAATACTAGTTTGTTAAATATAATAATTTTTTGGTAAATAAATTTCTTCGATAACAATTTGGTAGACCAACAAGTAGTTTATTAATGCTTCACGACAATTTTAGTAATTTTCCAGCAATTGAGAGTGTGTAGTAGTCTTATAGTATATCGTACTAATTGTTGTACTACCATAGTAGTATATTAGTTTGTTAATAAATATCATTCTTTGGTAAATAAGTTTCTTTGATAACAGTTTGATAAACCAACAAGTGGTTTACTAATGCTTCACTACCAATATTTAATGATTTTAATAATCCACTGTTAATTGAAAGTAGTAGTATATGGTACTAATTCCTAGCATACTAATTTGTTAAATATAATTTTTTGGTAAATAAGTTTCTGTGATAACAGTTTGATAAAGAACCAACAATAAGTGATTTATTACTGACATTTAACAATTTTCAATCACTATTAATTGTAAGTGTGCAGCAGTCTTATAATTGCAAGTATAGTACTACTACATTATTAGTTGTAGTATATACAATACTATTTCAATTCAATATTTCACTTATTATCTCATTTTAGTTACATTGTAGTATTATTACAGTAGCTGAATATTTTAATTTAAACTATATAAACAATTTACAAAGTTAATTATATAGTGAGAGTTCTCATGCACGTGTTTGTCAGTGAATTTAACTTCTAATTTTCATTCAAGTTTATTATTAATTGAATTTCAACTAATTTCCCCAATCGCTTTTGTCCTAAATAACTTGTACAGCCAGTTTGGTTTCAGAGACATACATGAATAATTCACAACTGCTCGCTCTTACGCCACTGTGTCCATAATTCTAATTTCCTCCCTCTACTTCTAGATCAGAGAAATATAACAGCGTGTGGAGGTATTTCTTGGACAAGCTTGAAAATTGGGTCAGGTGAAATCCGCAGGAAACGACGGTGATACAGATCATTGTGCGTCTAACCGATTCTAAAGCAAGTAAAAAAGAGATAGAAAGAGAGAAAAAAATCGAGACAGTCTCGATGAATAGATAAACTATATTTGGACGAGCTGCTTTCTGCTTTTATCAGGGAAAGGGAACGCTGTCCCCGGAAAATAACAACAAATACCGATATACGTGTGGTGAAAGCACGTGAAAATCAGTGTTCACAGTTTTCATATCGGGCCAGCATGACTATAGAACTTAGCTCGTGGACCTAGAACTTCCACTTTCAAGGCCCAGATCGAAGTAGAGCGTGCCTTGTGCAAAACTCCCTCCACGTGTGATCCTAATTTAACGTTGATATTGAATATTCTCAGCAATGAATGCACTAAATAATTCTCCTGATGTAAATCACAAAGGAGCCTGCATGATGAAAATTGATGTATGTTGCCGAAAAGTGACTCAGCTGTCTGATCTGAAGTTTATCTCTCAGACTCATCGACTTTTTAATTAAATAGTCGCGTAGTCAGGCTTCTGATGATCTAGGATTGATTTGTGTTAATTGATGGATAATTAGCAGAGAGTTGTTTAATGCAGAGACAGTTATCAAAGTGAATTATCTGTCAGAGAAATGAACCAGTTACTAAACTAGATCTCTGTGCATTGTAAAATTGAGTGTTTAGGTCCGTGGAATGTTATACAGATGATACAATAATTAGTTTATTATTAGTAAATTGTATGATATTATGGAAAATTCATGTTTGTTGGAATATGATCGAGGAAATAGCATCAGGTGTTAAATACTGCAAAAAATACTGTACTTATATTTTTTCCTAGGACTACATTTTGCACTTTTAGATTTCCCATGAATAGAGATTCAAAGAGACTAACGTATTGCAATATATTAAATAAATATACCAAAGGTATGAAGATTGAAGATGAATTTATATTCTTCATCTGTTACTCATTCAGTATCAAACATTCAGACTTTTGGCAACTTTCAAGCGTTCAACATGGATTATCCTGAAATGAATCATTTGGCAGACAAGTCGCCAGAATAATTTTCCAATGTTTGAGAAAAGAATTGCAACACATTGCACGATGTGAAATCATCTCTCTAAAAGACGAACTCAGCGGAGTTCTCTGTACTCGCAAGTGAGATCGAAAGCAAATTGTCGTATCATTTCCCTCTAGGAAGTTATCTCGTCCTTCTTTCGAAGCTTAGAAACGAGGAACACGCGTAATGTCGGCGATAAAAGTGATGCGATCGCGTGCTCGAAAGCCACAGGTCGCGGTCGAGTTACTTTTTCTCTTGGCCCGTTAATTGATATTCCTGCACACGGTGGGCAGCCAGTTACGATTCGAAGACGATTATGGTTATGCAATTGGCGCGTTGCATCGATGTTGCACGTGCCGATGCGTTTGGCTAAGGAACGCACTTCCGTTTCAGGCCCCGGTTCAAGAATCCTATTAATGGTCACGTTGCGGTGAACTGGACTGTGCCGATGGCAATTCACCGTTTTTCTTCCTTTTTTAACCGATACGTGTCCACTTTTGATTTCTTTTCTTTTTTTTTTTTTTTT